ATTTTTTAAAAACTATTTTAAATTTTAATTTTCCAAAATTGTCTAAAAAATATTTAATTGAAAAATAAATTTTTAATAAAAAATGTTTGGCATAAATAAAATTTAAAGTTTTTTCTTGTAATTTTCAAAAACTGTTTAGCCATATTTTTCAATATAAAAAAAAATAGTTTTTAAAAGTTTCGAAAGGTAAACAAAATGGTAGAAAGCGAAAAACGCAAATGAAAAAAAATTATATTCTTAATTTTTAATTCTAAGCTTTCAGTATGAGGCATTAAAAAAGTTAAAATACCTGATTATTTTGGATTAAATATTTTAAAATAATTTTTTCGAGATTAAAAAACATTTTTTTTTTTAATTTAACTCAAATGTTAATTCATTTATACTTTAAAGCACTATTTGGAATCAACATTTTTTTTTAATTCTGTATTTAGTATTAAAAATTAATTTTTGCATTTAATTGCTTTATTACTTTTCAATCCGGTGTTCGGGTTTAGAAATATTAAAAATATTTTAATCAAGATTTTGGGATTACAATATAAGAAATAAGTTAAGTTATTTCAATTATATTTTACTACATAACTTTATTTTTGTTGTAGCTATAATAAATAATTCGCAAATAATATTTTGAGAAGTCCCGCCGAGTTAACAGTCCTTGGCCGCTTAAAAATCCAGGTCAGTTCCGGTTACGAAGCTTCTCAAATGTTAAAATAATATAATTTATAATTTTGAGCACATAATATAAAATATTGACCACAACTGGTGGTTGCACTGAAAATTAATTGACTTAGTAGACCAATTAAATAGTAAATATCTGAAATGCACCCTCCTACATCAGAATATATGAACTCTTTCACGCACACTACCAACACGGCATATGTACTTGTGATTATTTATATACATATGTACATATATACGTAATTGCCAGCTGCGGCCGTTGCAAAGCTAGAACCGCTCCCGCAACCAAGTTTTATGCATGGGCAAAATGTGTGGCACGTAATGTAAATGCACGCACATTAATAACACACGCATGCATACGTGCATGAAAGCATATATAAACCATGTACCCAAAATGTATGTATGTTTAAATACGCATATGCCTCGCAAGTGCATTAGCAACATTACGGTAGCACAGCAACACATGTTTTCGGAAGCAATTTCCAACAAGTTACGCTTTGCTTTAGCGGTTGACAACGTCAAGAGAGCCTTATTATATAAATATGTATGTATGTAACCAATTACACATGCTTTGTCAACCACTTAAAAAATATATCTGTACTTTATATAAATTCGATATTATTCAATAACAAAACAAATTTAGCGTATGTACATATGTAAGTGCTCTAACCTTACATATTAAACTATTTTTTGATATCGACGAACGCAAAGAGGGATCGATAACAAAACAGCAATAAAATGTAAAGTAAAACCATTTGAGCGCTGGTGCGGTGTTTTGGTGCACAGGTGGTAGGGGTTGCATTGTTGTTAATGGTGCAGTACCGGCAGCAATGGCTGTCAACGGCATCGGGTGATCGCACTGGTTTTGCACTGTTATACAACAGACGGAGGCAATCAGCCAAGCGTAAACTCCAACCAGAAAGCATGCAACAACAAACAAAGTTGCTTTAAAAAATACCATAACAACCTGTACTAATAACAACAATATATGTATACACCTGTACAAAAACTAATGCCAACAGAAAATGTTTAATTAAATATATGTAGATAAAACAAGAAAAGATGTTAACTTTGGCTGCACCGAAGCTATAATACCCTTCACAGCTGCATTTGTTATGGAATAAAAGAGTATAAAAAGTTTATACGGCAGCCATATGCAATAGTGATTCTGTAGACATTTGTGTGGATGACTTAGTCATTATGGCCAATCCGATACGAACAATTTCTTCCGAGACACAACAATATTCAGTGCAAGTCCGATATCAGCGATCACTACAAATGAGAAACTTTTTCGGTAGGAAAGGACGTCTGCAAAATTTCAGAACAATATATCAAAAACTGAGGGACAAGTTCATGTATATATGTAGATAGATAGAGACACACTTGGTCCGTCACAGATGGTCCGTCTTATACGCTTCTTTCCAGATGTTACAAACGGGGTATAAACATACACAAATGTTCGTATGTGCGCATAGATAGTAATTATAGAATGCTAGGCTGATAATATAAATTAATAAATGCGCTACAAGTACTTAGATTGGAAAATTATGTGAATTATATTGTACTTAAACGAAAACTGCAAATAAAATATTAAAGTATTAAGTGCACCAAGTGCGCAACGAAGCAATTCAACAATGCAGAGCACTTACAGTGCAACGTGGCATAATCAGGGCGGAAGAATAGCTCAGGACCGAACAAAACAGTGGTAATAATTGTACTAAAGCATTTTTCAATAAAAGTAAAGTCAATAGACCGGAAGTTAATTCTCAAAAGCGCAGCACAGGTTTGACGAAAGCGCAGCACAAATATTTCACCCCTGTGGTATGTGAGACAATTTTTAAACGAGCATATTTCGCAAGTACGTTTGTTACTAGTGAAATACAATTTAAACATTAACTCACCTTTTGACCTATAGCGTCTGCCGCTGCTACTGCCTCCTTGGCCACGCCCACGCCATCGGCCGAAATGGCATGCGTGGATGGTGATGTCGCGTAAACGAATAATGGCAAAGAATTAAAGTTACGCAAAATACCACCACAATCCTTAAAGCGTCGGCACAATAACAATTTTTTTCCACACAAACGAGATTCTGGTGCGGCATTCATGGTCATTACAGACAACTCTGTTACAGCAGGTGTAGCCGGTGTTCCTTCTGCAGCTTCGTTTTCAGAACTGTAGGTTGCGTTGTTGTTTTTTGCTTTTTGGGTGTGTTGCTCCACTTCGTCAATTTCCTCCTTTACCGCTCTCTGTGTAACGCACCCATTTACAGTCGATGACTCCTCCGCTATAGTATTAACAATATGGCTTGTATGTGGCTGCTGCTGCCTATCCCCACCGACCTCCGCTAATTGCAGTTGCTGTGGGTGTTTCAATGCATTTTCAGTTGTTGCCGTTGTTTTCGTAGCCATATCAATATCTTGTTCACTTACATATATACCACTATTAGGTGTGTAAGACTGTGTATGCTGACTTTGTCGTTATGAATGAGCACTGTAGTGCGTGATATATCTGTATGATTTCGTGGACGGTTTCTAAACTATGATGCATTGGCATGTTGCAGATGTGCATGACCAATTTGCCCACATTGGCCTCTTAAAAGTATCAATTAAAAAACTAAATTACACATAGAAACCGAATGGTGTTTTTGTATTATATTGTTTGCGAAGATAAAGTTAGAAAGTAATCAAAATTGGCTAAAAGTTTCGGCATATAACGAACACTTATACGAAACAAAGACCGAAATTGGTAAGTATGGCAAAGGAGAGATGCGTCCAAACGCAGTCACAGTGGTACCTGCAAATTTGTCTTTGTTTCGATTTTTTCTCTACATTTACTGAGTGTTTGTTTGCCGGACTTCTTACCAACACCGTCCATATATTGAACACTTTCTGTGTTATTTTAAACTATTCCTGGCAATTTTATTTAAATTTAAAATTTGTTAATTATATCTTTAAATACTAAAACAGCACAACCACTTTTCACATCACTCACTTTTATAGTGCCGTAGATTCTTTTAACGAACAATGACCTTGTGGTTTTAACACTAAACTATACAAACAACTTGCGATTACCAAAGGTAGTTAAAAAGCAGTTTTTCAAAGGTTTATAATCAATCACTTTGCAAATTTCCTACAATAATATAATGGCAAATTAAATATTCGGCTGCTCAGCTCGCGACTCGCGACGATTGAAAATTGACATTTGTATTGTCATTGCTTTTGCCACAGTTTCGTACTTTCGTTTCCCTTTTAACACTTTTACAGAGTTGCTCTGAAGGATATTTTTAAATCAATTCAATATTAGTAGAAAAGTAATTTATTTTTTATAATATGCATAAATATTTGATAGCTTTTATTTAGCATGAGTAGTTATTTATTATTGCAACAACATTAAATTAGTGCTATACAATACGTTTTTTTTAAGACTTTATGGGATGGATAATGTAGGTCAAACAACATGCTTAACTTGAAACTGGGATTAAGCTAAGAATTATATATGGAATATTCCTACAATATAAATTGTTTTTATATATTTTTTATCAATAAATATTAAGAAAACTTGAAGCATAGTTATGTTTAATATAATTTTATGTATGAATTAATGTATGGAAAGAATGAAAGGTTTTTGTTTAAGAATACGGTAGTTAAATACCTGCAAAATTCATATTATAAGTTTTACATGAAAGTTTTAGTGTGTAACACAAAGCACATCAATTAATAAACTTTTTTTTAAGTGGACCATCGTTATGTAATATATTTTAAATGTGAAAGGATTTATAAAATAAAACCGTCTCTTAATTTTGGAAAATAATAAAAGTAAACAGTATTGATGTACCCATATTTAAAAAAAAAAATTTATTGCAATATTAATCTAAAGTATTCAAAATATTTCTCTTTTAAAAATATACATCTCATAAATATGTATTATTTAATTTTTTCATATCAACGCTGTTAAAATTCTTATTTGACCCATGTTTTGGTTTCCCACACTACATTGTCGACTGCCAATACCTCTGTTTCACTTATATATTATCGAACCCTTTTCTTGACCTGGTACGTGCGAGTGAAACAAGAGAAAGACATAGAACTTTTCTGCGTGACAGGTCGATTACAAATTTTAGTGAAAATAGTGAAACTTTCGGATATAAATTCAAATGACTAGCATAATAAATTTATTAAAGTTTTCTATCTATGACTTCTCTATTTAGCAAATATCCCTGGTACACTAAGAAATAAATTCTATAGTAAGTGTATAAAGTGTGAGTCTGCCGCCATAGTTACTTTTGAAATCGTCGTTGATACCAATTGGAAAAATATTAGCAAAGTTACAAGCGAAACTCTGCGAGCCGCGTTAACGACGATTGTCATTCGGTTGGAGGTAACCCTTGTGTATATTCAGATTTCACCTAAAGAAAGTTATCTAAAAACTCATTAGCTTGGTGAATGCCTTTAAAGTAGGCGGAATATTTTTCTTTTAGCTTTTCAGAAAAACTGTGAATCGAGTAAATCGGTTTGTGTGGCTTTCAAAAGTTGTGAAAAGCAATAATAAGAAAAAACGCCACAGACATTGATATCGGATTAGAGAATCTAATAAGCAAAAAAGTGTAAAAGTGTGCGAAAAATATTTCGCCGAATTGCTTAAATTCCGGCTGTCAAAAATAAAATCGACTAGACGTTGAGTTTTGTCTTGCTTGCGCGCATCGTTGACCAAGTGCGACCATAAGTAGTTGTAGTTGCGCTAGTCATACTACAGGTGTCCTCATAAGGGACGGATATATTTAGTAGCCGCACCGCTTAATCGACTTAGTTGCAGACGAGTGCCGAAGTGAATCGAGTCTGCTGGTTTTGGTCTTCGTAATTATTCGGTCTGATTGGTCGTGGTAGTTCGTTGAGACAAAAATTCAGTGCGATTGCTGCGAGAATTGAATTCGTCGTACTCGTGGGCTTTAAACAGCAAAGAAGGAAAATTTTCTTTTTTTTAATAGAAATTTAGTTTGTGCGCTACGCTCCACACACACATTAAAAATAAAATTTCAACAAAATGGCGTTAAAAAGAATTAATAAGGTATGTTTAATACGTTTAATATATAGGCAGCAATTGAAATGCATTTTAGGGCATGGTGCGAAACTTCTTTATGCAAGAAATAACGTGAAACGATGAGCCAGCAGAAGAAATGACGGGGAAGAATTGATCGAAAATGGGCGACGAAGCACCGACAGTGCTAGCGATAGCAACGACCACGACGTCTCATGTTCATTGTGACAATTTACTGACAGGAAAATTAGAGAAAAGAAATTTTTAAATTGCAAACGTACTATGTAAATTAAATTATGCAGAAGTATTGAGCGGTTGTCATTTTGAGGTAACAAGAACTAAACTTTCCGGTAAATATTGGCGTATGAGGGAACTTTACTTTCAGACTGACAGATTGATATTGAACATCAGTGTCATTGTTGAACTTTAATGATTCTTCGTGATATAAAAACAATTAAGAACTAGTGAATTTTAAAGTGCAAATATGTTAGAATACTATAAAGTAGCACTTTATATGTAAATAAGTTTCAGATTATTGTTGTGCATAATACTACAGTCTAATAGTGATATAGTTTTGTTATGCGTTTCTACGATGTAATCTGGATTTGTTACTCAATTCGTTAGTATACATAGTAATTTATGTGCCTAAGCATCGCTAATCGGCAATTAAAAATCCAGCATATTTCTAACCTTACTTTTGATACAACTGGCATGATTATTAATCATTTAAAATGCTTGTTCAGATTTTAATTTATAACTGAAATGGTATAAAAAAGTTTTGTACATATACCCCTCCTAAAAGTTATTTGTTGGTTTTGCCCTTCGGTATATCAAATATTCTTTATATCCTTTCTTCCAGTCAGCCGCATAAAAAGTTAACAAAAAGGAAACAAAAACCTTCGAGATAAATATGGAAACAAGAAGGAAATAGTTCAGTAGCAGCGCGGTCGTAGTAGCGCTGATGGTACTTTCCATTTCTTTTCCTCACATGTAATTCACTATATCGGAATACTTGATTCACTCCAATCGTGACGACGCATCTGTCGCAGCGCTGCTACGTAGCTGCTGCTCTCTACATACCAAACTAATGAACGCTAAAAGTTCCTATATTGGTGTAATTTGTATAAGTAATATAACTTTATATCGCTATTTTAATTAAAGAGTTGCATCTTTTTTTGGAGTATTTGTTCCAATTAAACATAAACTATGCGAAATTGCAGTCAGCGTATTTGAAATTGTAGTCAGCAGCTTACTGTGACGTTAGCGTAGCTGATGTCTAATCGTCTCTACAGTGTTTCGACTTCGTGTACTATCGTCTGCAACAGTGTTGCCTTTTGCTGTTTGACTTGCCGGATTCTGTTTTTGCCTGCCATCTACAAATTCGTTAGGTTTTACATATTTTATTTGTTACAACCGTATTTTCCGCACGATCTTTGTGTTTAGATATTGTTCGAACTTTTTTTTTAAAGCTATATTGTATTAGTGTTTGCTTTTAAACGGTATTGCTGCATTGCTAAATTTGTAAAATTCAGGTTTTTTTTTTTTTTTTTTTTTTTTTTTTTTTTTTTTTTTTTTTTTAAATTTTTTTTTTTTTTTTTTTTTTTTTTTGAAATTTTGTTTAAATATATATATACAAGTTTTTAATTATAAAAAAATGAATGTTTTTTCATTTTGCTTAAATTATATATGAATTAAAGCTCAATTATTTGCACTCATAATCTTAAAGCAACACTGTTTTCTATTTTATCCATTTCAATGACTATAGTCCGCTGTTTTTGCTTTGTTACTTCTTCGTACGTAGCTGTTTACAGCGACGTATCTGCTAAACGCGACTGTGGCGTCGCTGCTTCCGTCACCGTCATGGCCATTGAATTTGTAAATGAAATTGGGAATTCTTTGCTTATTTAAAAATCTAAATAAGAGTTGAAAATGACCAATGGCAAATAATGAAAGGCTGTTTTTATTTATATGTTATTTTCACCCATTTTTATTTGATTAAAACATATTCTGATGGGTTTTAACTAATATAAAAGGAAAAGATATTAAATGAGAATGTTATTGGGTTCGGTGATTCACTGATAGGAAATAAATGTCTTGGACAGTTTATATAAATATATAATGTATTTGTATTATTGTTTAACATAGTGATAATTAAAAAAAAAGTAATTTATATATTACCAACCATTTTTTTTTATTAGATTCTTTCATTAGTTTAATTTCCAAGCAACATAAGTGAATTAATGTCATTTTTTCTCGCCAACTTACGTGTTATTTCAGGTGCTTAAAGTTAGGTTGTAAGTTTCTTTTTGTGTCCAAAAATGTAGCTTCCTTTGATTTATTTACCTTCAGTTCTTCAAGATCTTTAAAATATCTATATATGTGCTTAAACTCACATAAACGTATGTGGAAACGATTGAGTCGCTGTCTGCGTCAAAAACTTTGCAGTCACCATTGCCAAGTCAATGCTTTGATCCACACCAACAATGCAATTGGAGCTGTACATGAGTCATGCAGACCATACGCCAATCTCAACTGTTTACGTTGTGAAAAATTTCCCCGTTCATAACTAAAAAAAATGATGGTGAGCGGAAGAAGAGCAGTTACCAGCCCTTAAAGTCATATTTGGTAGAAGCAAATGCTACTTAAAAAATAGTTCCAATATTGTATAATTTTCTACTTCAAAAATAAAGTTGTTATATTCCTGTGGTTTTGTAGAGTTTATACCTATGCAACTGTTTCTCATCGCTCGGCAAGAGCAATCTATATTCAGGCGACGATTGCCAGCCACTCCGTTAGCCAATTTATTTTTATATACATATGTATTTATAAAATTTTGTTTTCTTAGTTTCCTCAAAGCATATATGCGGTGTCGCAGGCTTTTTGTTGTTAGCCTTATGGCATTTTGACAGTATATACGCACAGTTTTAAGTTTAACTCGATGATGTTGTTGCTTGTCGCAGTGTCGTATTGATAATGGAATATATTCTTTCGCCTTCTAATAAATGTGTGGAACATAGAAACTACGTTGGTTTGATCTCATCAATTTCAGTTAGTTTGCAAATATCAATGAGTAAACTTTGATTCAGTCGCCGTAACATAACTTGTTTTCTTTTTTACTATTTTTATTTTCCATTTCGGAAAGCAATACCAGCAGTAAAGCCTAAAAGGTAATTGGTGTGCGTATAAACGCGTGTACATTACACTCTGCGTTGTCTATATAAAATGACTGTTTGTGCCGGCCGTTGTCGTCTCCTGTTTTTCTTCTGCTTAATACAATGTTCCCAACATATTCACTTTGCCAGAATTTGGAAAGGGCCAACGAACTTTACGTTATGATTATTTTTTTTTATATCCATATTGTTATTCTGTTTACACTGTTGGCATAAATGCAAAATTGCGCTGGTTTTGTTCAGTTTTCGCCTGGCTACCTTTGTACACTAGGGAAATGTTTTGTGCACATGAAAAAAATTACATTTTTATAAACTACTTTATGGTATTCTTAGACATTCAAACAATGATTGAAAATTAAAAACAAATTTCGCAATTAAATCTTGCCTAAAATGCATTTAAATTTAGAATCATTTTATCAAATATGTATGAATTGTTTTTGAGTTTGCAATATATTTTTAGGAACTACAAGATCTGGGCAGAGATCCACCTGCACAATGTTCAGCTGGACCAGTCGGCGATGATTGTAAGTACAATGTGACAATTGTGTTTGCCACATATACATACATACCTATATGTATCTATCTAACTATTAATTTGTTTACACCTTGTTGTCTGTTAATATATTATTAATTATGAAATATTTGTGAAAAGTTCAACGTCACGAAAGTTTCTTAGCGCAAAAGTTTATCAAACGTTATCTTATAAATACAATTAAATTTTATACATGTGCCTTAAAGAGAAATTCTGTGATTTTTTTATATGATATTAATATACCCGTAACAGAGTTATTAAGTTTGCAATTATGTTTGAAATACCCAAAAGAAAACAGCAAAGACAAAAGTTTATTTAGGAATGATATTGTTGTTCTTAAACCAGCAAAAACATTCCTGTAATTTCATGAAATGGTAACAAGCTGAAAGTCCTTTGCCGGCCAAAGAAGCTGGTTCCGTTCCGTGATATTTGGAACCTGTTGACTGTTGTGGGTTGTGGGGACAACGGTATCTGCACGAAATTACGCATAAGTATTATCTAAGGCATCGGTAAAATCTAAGAACGTGTTGTGCAAATCGGAGCTTGTGCATATAGCTGCCAAAAAGATTGGCAAATCAAGCACACGTCTTTGTATAGATAAATTTTTTATTTGTGAAGGAATCTTTACGAAACTTTAGATAGGACAAGGCATTGCTATACAATTACAATAAATTGACTAATCAAAGTCATAATACAAATCTTGTTATTCTTTTTGTTGTAAGGATTGCTCCAGTTAAGGGTTGTTGTTGTTCTTGTTGTTGCTGTAACGGCAGAATTCTGCCGAGTTGACAGTCCTTTGCCGGATAAAAAGCCGGGTCCGTTCCGGTTTTCGTAGACCCGACTGTCGTGGGAACGGCTCCAGTTAAGGGTACTATAGCTTCCTTACAGCGGAAGGTAGCGTTTAATTTTTTATTGTTATACATATTGTATGCTTAACATATTTCTAATTACAACAAGAAAACAACAAATGTATTAACGCTACCTAATGCATATCAATTAGTATTATATATTAAAATTATAAATCCGTAAGCCTGCTTGGCACTATCATACAAACAAAGGTTTTTGTTTTATTTAAAACAAATTAAACTTTTGCCATGTAATAATTCCAATTGTTTAAACAGATGTGGGGGTTTCCAATTCCGATTGCTATCTTGACTTTTACGCATCTTCATTGACATTAAATTGCCCATTAATTTATTTTAGTTTACGGCATAATTAAGTTATATTATAGATAAGTGAGAAAAATATAAAAAAATAATGGAGAATACTTACTTGCTATAGACATATATTATATTCATATGTATACACGTTTAACAAAGAAGGCATTCATTTCCCATAACACCAAAGAGTAATATTTATTGTATAGTACTACCACCACGTTGCACCTAACTAACTACATACGTACATACGGTACTACTATTTGAGTGTTTGGGGCACAACATATATTGTATGTATGTAGCACAATATAGCAATTCTCACTGCTTGTCTACACCCATTAAAATTTCAATGTGAACCACACCAAGAGTTACCTTTCAACCCACCAACCAAGCAACCATCTGCATCGTTGATTTTGTATAACGCCATCTACCATCCCCATTGCAAAAACGAAATAAAAAATCTGCTTGCTAAACTCCACAGTGCTGCACTCCACTTCAACTGCGAAGCTTCGTTTTGTCGGGTCGGTGGCAATGAGACTTTACAGTAGACCATAACGGGTGGGTGTCGGTTGCAGTCGAATAAATTCAAATAAAGTCGTAGCAACTGCATAAATGCTGCTTGCTGCAACGCCAGCGCTTGTGTGGTAGCGGCAGAGCGACCACATTAAGAACAGTGTGTCGTTTAGTTTATCCCTGGCTAGGTGCATTTGTGCTGTGCGGGTGTTAATAAATGTAGGGTAGTGTTGGCGGTGGAGTAATGGAGGTTGTTTCGAATTTATTGGATCTGGGTAGGAAGATATTGTACACTTTGTGGGGGTTGTGTGACAGCTGTTGTACCAACAGCAGTTGTTAGTGTACTCAGCACTCTGAGCAGCTGTTATGCTTTCGAACAGTGCGATCAATTAATTTCAGTGTGCATATAAAAATACAATATAAATAATATACCGATACTGATAATTTGCTAAAAGTGAAGAAGTCGCTTGAATATGTGCAAGTGAAACGAAATGAGTTGTAAGAGATAAAATACCACTTATAATAAATCGAGATATGTAAATAATTTAAAGAGTATGCTTATTTATATAAGTAATATTAATATTTGAACACTTCACAAGGACTTTAAAGACGTGTTAAGGGGCGCTGAGTTTTTGTTCAAAATATCCATATACATACATACACATATGGACAAAATAATAGGTGTATTACATTTTACCAAAATATCGTGAAATCATATGCAATTAAAACAAATTTTTCTTTAGTAATAAAAGTATTTTTCTTTATTAAACAGAAATACTTTGCAATTTTCTTACTGTAAGCTTTAAAACAAAAAATTCAATTATAA